ATGGATTAGTCAAAAGCAATCTATTGTGGCCATGTCTACTGGAGAAGCTGAATGTGTATCAGCACAAAGTGCCAGCTATGAGCTCTACTGGATTATTCATCTACTGAAAGATTTTGGCATAGAGGAACCAAAGCCAATAATACTTTTTGAGGACAATCAAGCTTGTATCGCCATCTGCTAAGGTGAAGGCACCAAATCTAAAAACAAGACCATCACACTCAAATGTCACTACGTGAAAGAGCTGCACGACCAAGGACTGATTGAACTCCAATACTGTCCTACTGATCAGATGATTGCCGACATCCTGACCAAGCCGCTTGACAAGCAACGTTTTGAGACTCTTCGTGAATGTTTGAATCTGCATGACTTTCGTGTTATAACTTGAGAAGGGGTGTTGGGTATTACAAGTTGAAAACACTCAGCATATCTGGGGTTAAATGTTTGTTTATGTTACTCACAGGAAGTCACATGTTTTTCATGTAACCAATGTTCTTTAGCTGTAGGAAGCCCGGGAATTTTCTCCCTGATCTAGGAATTTGATTGGGACTAAAATGTCAAGGTGTATTACCATTTTATGGCGGCTTCTCTTGTCTTTGTTTGGTGTTCTGAAGAAGAAGAAGAGCAGGAGTAGCCATAATCTCTCTCTTCTAGTTTTGTCTTTGCAGAGTAAGGATGTAGCCGATTATGCTCTGTTGTTATTTTCATCCCAGTTACCCTTCCCCATGCTAGAATTTAGTAAAAACTTTATATTTTAATCACACATGGACTCTCAGTCTGAATTATCTTACTCTGACTCTGCTGGACTATATTATCTGCCTGGCAGGGAGGGCGGGGTAAAACACCCAGAGCCTCGTTTCTGCTCCCCTTTCCCTGCCCACACCTTCCTTCACTCCATTGTCTTTGACCCACCAGGATTCCTACCTGTGAGGACTTCAAACCCCCCCCCCCCGCTCATTCGAAGGTGTCATTTTGCTGGCCGGTGGCCGGAAAGAAATCTGCCAGTGCAAGAGGGAATCCGCTTTGCTTGCTAAGCCAGGACAACATGGATGAGTGGCACGCAGGAATATTGGGGGGGGGGGGAGAAACCATCTCATTTGTCTTGGGTCACAACCAATAGCAGAAGGGATAACTCAGGACAGGCACTTGGCTGAGAAATACCAAATTGCTTACAGTCTTTCCTGTAGTACAGAATCTCCAACTTGCACTCTTCTGTTCCCAGCAGCGCTTGCGCCAGCTGTGCGATGGAGTTGTGTGTCGTGTCGGGCCCAGTGAGGAAGTCGCAGGTGCAGGGCCGCTGCATCACCTCCACCCGGGAATATCCGAACATCTCGCAGAAGCCGTCGTTGCAGTAAATGATGGCACAGTTCTCCATCTGTGCATTGGCAATGAGGAACTTGCGATCTTGGGGGGGGAGAATGAGAAAGTCCAAAGGTTACCCACTGAATCAATGACTGGACCCGTGCGACATGGATGAGACAGTAACTCGCCATTTGTGCAAAGCCATGACCCAGAGTGGTCTCTTCCCAACGGCACTCACAGGCAAGTGGTCTGCCAATGGAAGAAGCAAGTGACCAAGAGCTGCACATCACTCCTCTCCATTGTTAGACAAACAGGCGCCTGTTCTTTGAAGGCAGGGGCAGGAGCTCTCAGCATCAGCCACTTCCCATCTACCTCGATCTTCTTACATTTCACTCCATGATGTATTCTGGGTGCCAGATGTTCCACAGTGTACGAGACGTCTTAAGCTGCATGTGCCTGTCTTATCTCTACGTGTTTCAGCCCCAGATTGCACTGAGAAGTGGTATAACTGTCAGACAACAGACAGCGTCTTTGATTGATAGTTTAATCACCTTCTCGGTGCCTCAGCTCTCAGACCAATATGCTTCCAGTGAAGAACAACAGCTGGGCAAACACTGGCTGAAAACTGGATGGATTCATTTTATCCAGGACAGTTCTCTGAGTCTCCCTCTTTTCTGGATCATCTGTGTTGACCATGCCCCACTCATAGATTCATTTTTGGAACATGAAACTACTCATCCTTTCAAGAATGCGCAAATGCACTTGAATAGGCTGTCTGAGGCCTCCTACCAACACAAACACCCATCTTTTCCAGATACCGGAGAAATCCTCTTCATCGGGAACCCCCACCCGGGCTTATCAAAGGCAGACCTCGTCCCTCTTGACAGGCGCTCTCTCAGTATCCTGCACTCATTGCCCCCTTCTCTTGCCCTGTTCCTCAGGAGGGGGATCAGAACCACGAGTAAGGGGTCTTCTGGCTGCTTTGCACTGCACGCATAGACAGAGAGATTCTGACCCTGTCCTTGAAAGGCAGGGCTATTTTGGGGCAGGAATGACCAGGAACAGAATTCCAGCAGGCTTCCAAGTTGGCCACGCCCAGCAGGAACTCATTAGGATTGGCTACATTAGGGGTGTGTGGCCTAACATGCAAAAGAGTTCCTGCTACAAAAAAAGGCCCTGGGTTTTGACAACAAACAAGGTAAACAGAATAAGAAGCATAAGGTGGGTGTAGCTGGATGAGCACACTTCTGGTAACATGGGGTGTGGCCTAATATGCCAATGAGCTCTGCTGTCAGGGGTGTGGCCTAATAGGCTAATGAGTTTCTGCTGTTGGGTGTGGCCTATTATGCTAATGAGTTTTCTACAAAAAAAGCCCTGTTGAAAGGTGTGCCCCTAGGCAGGATCGGAGCACCAGTCCCTCCTCTGAAGGGCTCGCAATACACTCGTATAGTGAATCTACGCTAGTGTAACAATATTTTTACCACTCCATTAAACCAGCGACTGCTAATAAAATCCTGGTGCTCCACAGGGGCGGTGGCCCAGAGTATCGCCAGGGAGAAGCAGAGCTTAGCTGGGCTCCCATGGTTTCTCTTTCACACCACGCTCACGGAGAGGCTTGTTCCTATAGCGAAAATGTTTTTGTCCCATGTGCTCCTTAAAAATAATCCCAGGACTTATGCATGCAACAGATAAAGAGTTGAAAGTCTGCATTAAAATAAACAGAAGTGGCGACAAGCTCATGAAAAGCAGCAAAAGAATACAAAGTAGAGAATAACGAATAAAAGCAGCAGTAACCTAAATTTAAAAACAGCAAAAAAAAGAGAGAGCAGAAAACCAGCAAGGATAAAACTAGCAGAGCGGGTATGGCAAAAACGGCAGGCAGAATAATGGAGCAGAAGAGCTAGAGAAATAAAAACGTCTTTGCCTGACACGAAGAAACACTTTTGGCTTGTGGGGGAAGATGGAGTCCCAGAGCGTCAGAGCAGGACCTCAGGGGATGTTCTTGCCAACTCCAGATTGCGAAATACCTGAAGATTTTGTGGGTGGAGCCTGGGGAGGGCAGGGCTTGGGGTGGAGCAGGACCTCAGCAACATATAATGCCGCCGAGTCCATCCCTCAAAGCAGGGAAAGCGATTTCTGTCGTCCGGAGGTCAGTTGTAACCATGGAAGATCTCCAGGCCCCACCTGGAGGCTGGCCACCCAAAGTAACTGCTGAGCAGCTTTATGTGGGAACGGGGGGAGGGAGGGGGGGGGGGGGGGGTTGGGACCAGGGCTCTGAAGGCCCATTGGCAACTTTATTGGGAACACCCAGCATGCTGAACTGCAGCCAGGGGAGCTCTTGGGGAAGTGGCAACCTGTGAGCCGAGCCCTGCCCCCCCATTTCTTGTTTAGATTTTAGAAAGCTTCCCCCCCCCCTTCAACAATTGACAAATGGAGCTGTCAGATGGGGATGCAGCTCCATTTGCTAGTGGGACCTTCCCAGTTCTGTGGAGATTTTAAAGTGAAGCGGGGAGGGGGGGGCCCTCTCCTTTGCTCCAAACTGAAGGGGAAACGGCGGGGGGGGGCCTGTGGGCGGAGCCTCCATGCAGCAGAAGCCGTGCCCAGGGCCCAGCTGGGTGGGGAGCTTCGCTCTTCTCCCTGCAGGGCCCCCTCAGCGCCCCCTCGGCTCAGGCCGGGACTCTTTTCCTGCTCCTCCTCCATGCGGCGGAGGCCAAGCCGGCCCAGGACTCAGGGGGCTGCTGCCAGGACAGTTCCTGGTGGGCTGCTGACACGAAGGAGCCCCTCTCCCTGAGCCCTCCGCCTCCCAGGGGCACTTTCTCTCAGCAGGACTCCCCGGTGGGCCTGACACTCTGGGTGGCGGCAGCGGCACTATCCCGCTCGCACAGGAGCCACGGTGTTTGGCCTGGCCAATTTTGGCTGGACATACTGCCTGCTTCCCATTCAGAAAGGCCCCAGACCCTCCACAGCCAAACAAAAGTATTCCCGAAATCCAGGACCCTTTTGAGTGAACAGTTATTCTGGTGCTGCAGGAAAGGCCGGGGCGATGGCGGAGGAAGGAGAAGGACTGGGCACAAGGGCTGCCACACCGGACACGTGGTTCCCGGGTCCACCCAGGGGATTGTCGAGCAGTACGAGTTAGGCTCTCAGGCATGCGGGGGCCCAGTTTGGATTGGGACCATAGTGCACGGGGAGAGGGGGGGCTGAAACCTTCCTCCCTGCACCATTTCCCCACCCTGAAAGAGCTGCTCTTTGCCCTGTGGGGCCACAAGTGTGCCAATGCTTCCAGTAGACCCTTCTGAAGAAGCCAGAGCGAAAGGGTCCTGCTCTTTATTTCCACACTAGAGCTCACTGTCAGCTCCAGTGGTCATTGCTTGGGAGGAAAAGATGCATCTCATCCCTTAGCAGTGAAATCCAAATGGAAGGGGAGTCCTCAAGAACTGCCACGTGGCCTCCTTGCACTTCAAAATCTGGAACACGTATTGTGCTGTCAAGGGAGCACTTGTCGCATCTACTATTGAGCGCGAGGTGGGTCGCAGTGGCTCAGAGGCTAAGGCACTGAGTTGCAGGCCGGAAGTTTGAGACCCGAGTGCTGCGTGACGGAGTGAGCTCCCATCTCTGGCCCCAGCTCCTGCCAACCTAGCAGTTCGAGAGGAAGAAATTGCAGGTTAGATAAATAGGTACCACTTCGGTGGGAAGGTCACAGTGTTCTGTGCGCCTCCACACTTAGTTTTGCCGGCCACATGACCATGGAGAAGTCTTTGGACAGTGCTGGCACTTCGGCTTGGAAATGGAGATGAGAACCGCCCTCTAGAGTCGGATTTGGCTGGCTTTTGAGCAAGGGAAACGTTTACCTTTACCTTTACTTAAGAAAGGCGAAGCGGCATGCAGGCAGGCATGAAGTGAGCTATGGTGGGGAAGAAGAGACAAAACAAACAAGAAGGAGAAAATACACAGAGGAAAACTGTGCTGTGTCTTTGAAAATGCTACAGCTAAGGAAATGGGCTTGCGGATTCAGACAGAAAAAGGAAGTTCAGTTCTAGGAAATTCATAGTTGATGTATGGGATTCATTGCCACCAGATGACTTTTGTGGAGGACAAAGCTATTATCACGAGAGGCTGATGATAAATGAGGATGCTCTGCTTGTGAATATCACTAAGGGGACCTGGTGGGCCTTCCCTAGAGACAAGAGGGCTGGGTTAGATTGGCCCTCCTTGGTTGGATCTAGGCTCAGTGGGGAGGGGACAGCACCACTGGGGCCAAGCAATAGTCGAATGTGCCCCCCCCCCGCCAGCTGAGCAGGGACAGTGTGTGTGTGTGTGTGTGTGTGTGTGTGTGTGTGTCCCCCCCCCCCGCTCGTTGGCCTCTTGCATTTTAACACCCGTGTTAGCTGCAGCTGTAGAAAATTCTTCAGTGCGGAGGGCCTATTTGAAGGCTGTCTGTTAGTGCTTTCCCTAATTAACCTCTGATTACACGTACAAAAGGCATCCATCTACAGCCCAGTGCAGTTTCTCCAGCTTCTGTGTACTTTGTTTTTGCCCTTGGCCAGCACTGGGGGTGGTGTGGATATCTGGTTTTGTCAAAGCAGCAATCCAAAGGGAGCTTGTGGGAACTACTCAAGAGTAAGCATCTCAGGTCTGCATCCTAAAAGTTAATACCAAATGATGCTTTTCTGTTGCATCCTCTGCCCAGGTGGGGGGAGGCCCGGGCTGTGGTGGTTCTGGCACAGAAATGCACTTCCAGAGTGCAGCCCTCATGAGCTATGGCTGAAATCCAGAGTAGAGGAAGATGACAGATACTCCCAGATCCTAGAATGCTCTCGATCAATGCTCCCTCTAAGCAGTGAAGTCTTGTGAGCAAAAATTCTACTTTGTGAGCTAATGGCATTAAAGTTGTGAGCAAGTGATTTGGCCACTGCATAAATTAGTTTGCTCTGGAGCCACCCTTCCTGAGCTAAGACAAAAATGTGTGAGCCGGAGGCTTAAAAAACAGTGAGCTAGCTCACACTCACTCAGCTTAGAGGGAACACTGCTCTTGATCCTTCCACCATGAAGCTTGTGGGTCTAGAGTTTTTGCCAAGGGAAATGGAATTTCCAAGCACAGA